AGAGAGAGAGTGTGTGTGTGTGTGTGTGTGTGTGTGTGTGTGTGTTCATGAGGAGGGCCTTGGTTCTCAGGGCCCAGGGATCTGGATGGAATTAGGGGCTGGCCGGGAGTGGGGGCCAGGATAGGAGTGGGGGGGCTGCTGCAGGAAATGTGAGCTGCACTCATTAGCTCCTCACGTGCTCAGCCGGATTTATAAACACACGGAGAAGACGGGATGTAAACAATCAGTGGGCAGCAGCCAGAGGCAGAGCTGGGGCGGGGGCTGGGCTGGGGGCCAGGACTGCTGGGGAAGGAGAGAGGGGGACCCGGGACACAGCCCCGATGGCCGGGGTCCACCTGCACACCATGACCCTGAGGGAGGATGGATGAAGGCTCCAGGAAGCCCACCACGCACTCTCCTCGGAGGCAGGCAAGCTGTGCTGGGTTCCTGGGCTCACGACTAACCGCAGGTGTTCACCCCAGGCCACTTTCCCTTCTGCTGCTAGACATGGGCTTGCCCAGAGTGGAAGCTGTCATAGCAGGGGCAGAGTCTGTCCTCCTACCCCCCTTTCTCCTCTCCTAACCTTTTCTCCCTCTGGATTCCTGAGAGCCCTTCCCTTTTTCTGGTTCCCTCTGTGGGTCGTCGGAGCCTTCTGTTCTCCCCTGCCCCCCACCCCCAGCCTGCAGCGACAGTTACCTCAGAACTGAAATATTCCTGGAAACACCGGCCTCGTCTGGTTAATTTCATGAGCTGTTTTTTCTGCCGAGATGACTTAGTTCTTGTCTATCCAAAGGCTTCCCCCCCCTGCTGTTTCTGTGTAGGGAGCTGAGCTCCCCTAGGGATGTCCCACAGGGCTCAGAATGGGAGAGGCAATAAGTCCCAAGCTGGGTTCCTGAGCACACCTCATGGCCATGACATAGGCAGAGCCTAGAACTCTGGCCGGCACGTGGGTAAAGAGGGAAGCCCAGCTCCCAGCTCCTGCTTCAGCTGGGACCCTGAGCCTTGCCGCTAACTCTGAGTGAGGCCAGACTCGATTCTGAAAGTGACCTCAAGGCTGGGAGGGCCTCTGCCCAGTGTAGCAGGTCTCCAGTCTCCAAAACAAATCCTACCCTGTACTCACAGGATCCTAGAGTGACTGCCAGATCCCCAGGCTTGGGGTTGTGTTGGGATGTGAGGAACAAGGAAGAGAAAGGAACTGAGTCAAGCAAGAGCTGGGGATGGTAAGGAAGAGTGAGGAAAGCAGCGTCCAGGAGGAAGCCACAGACTCAGAGGGGAAGGAAAGAGGAAGCCAGTCTCCCCAGGGAGCAGTTGAGGGCCTGACTCTACTCTCTGTCCTAAAACACACAGGTGTACACACACTCCCCTCAAATCAAGACCCTGTGACTGGTGGTACCCCACCTCTATGCTCCCTCAGTAAAGCCAGCCAGTCACACAGCCGAAAGAGTTTGGACTGACCAGGTGGGCCACTGCAGAAGACCCCACTGACCCCTGGCCTCCATAAGCGACGTTTTAGACAAAAGGGATCTTGCAGTCTTCCTAGTTTATAGCCCCCCTCTCTAAAACTCTGACTCAGCACTGTGATTAAACCTAACCTTGTCTTCATTCTTCAGTCCAAACCCCATCCTAACCATGGGCAAAGTGCTATACCTATCTAATTTATTTCTAGCTATCAAAGCAACCTATGTTGCTATACAAAAATCTGACAGTGTAAAATATGAACTACAGGGGCGGTGGGAAGGTGGTAGCGAAAAAAAGAAAAAGGAAAAAAAAGAACTATAGAAAGGAAACCACTCATGACCTCATACCTATTCAAGCTGAAAACCCAAACTAGCCCTGCTCTTCATGACATGACGAGCAGCGCCCTGTCTGACATCGAAACTGACCAAGTCACAGACCTCCAGCTCACCCTCTGCCTGCCCGGACCTCACCACTTCCCCTGCTGGACTCAAACCTCAACCGCACTAAATCAACCAAATTCCAAGTCTAAACTAATTGGAAACTTTTAAAGTAACCCAGTCCTTAAACCTAAGCTAGGCCAATGCCGATTATATCTACCCTAGCCAAACCTGAACTGCCTTTGCCAGTCCAAAGTATCCACTGAGTCCTCACCTTGGTCTTCACCTAAAATCCCAGAAAAGCATATTTCCCAACTGCCCATGTCCCTCCTTACAGCAGCTAACCCTGGCCTCTGGACTCCTGGTATCCTGGGATGTGCAAACCTTGCAGTGCCATCAGCCAAGAAGCCCAGCTCATCAAATGCACATCTCTCCTGTTCCCACCCTCGCAGACTGATGGAAAGGCCTCACTGAAGTCCAACTTTTCCCCACCTAACACCAAGAATGGGGTGGCCCTCCACACTGCCACCATCCCCTGAGAGCGAACACTAAACCTCCTTTAATCTAACCCCACCCTAAACTTTCCACACCCAGGAATATGCCCAGCATATACCCAAAACTAGCTCCATGAGGCAGCCTGACTCTGGTGGTCTAACTCTGTACCTTGCCTCTTATGGCCGACTGTTCTTGGCGGCTGCCTCTCTCCTGCCTCCTCCCTCAGGGCTGACTGTGCTCAGCCTGCCAGCTCTGACTGTGCTGTCTCCCACTCTTTGACTCCCCTCAAGCTGCAGAGGGACTGGGAGATTGGCAGAAGTAGGGCACAACTAGAACACAGGCAGGTCGACCAGTCCATAGGCCTGGCCCCGTCCCTCCATGTACACACACATACATGTTGGCACACACACAGTGACACGCATGCCAAAGACTCTCTCAGCTGACACACAGATATACTCTCTACTGATAGACACTCATGCGTGCCAAGTCTTCATCCTCAACCACACACATGCCTGCTTTCTCTCTCTCCCCTCTCGCCAGGAGTGTTTCCCCTCCTCCATCCCCTCTGCCTCCCATCTGGTGTCCCACCCTCACCCCAATCCCAGCCCAAGGAGGGGACAGACACCTGAGGGGCTGCCAGCTGCTTCCCTGCATGGTCCCAGGCTGAACTCATGCTTCCCGTCCATCCTGCCCACAGGGGACTCGTGGGGGATGTTAGCGTGCCTGTGCACGGTGCTCTGGCACCTCCCTGCAGTGCCAGCTCTCAATCGCACAGGAGACCTAGGGCCTGGTCCCTCCATCCAGAAAACCTATGACCTCACCCGCTACCTGGAGCACCAACTCCGAAGCTTGGCTGGGACCTATGTGAGTATCCAGCATAGGATAGGAGTCTGGGAGTTGGGGAGCAGTGAGGAGTTGGGGGAGGGGAATCCTAACGGTGGATGGTCCTGGTAAATGATGGGGTGAGGAGGGGCTCTTTGGCTCCCACCAGTCCCCCTGTCTTGCCTATCTTCTGCCCTTCCCTCTTAGGTGGCCCCCCCACCTCCCCATCCCTGGCCCCGGGACTAGGCATGTGGGCAGGCCTCGCACCCGCCTTGGCCCATTGCCCCACTGGCTGCCAGCCCAGCCACCCGCCTCCCCCTGGGGGCCGGGGAAGTCTCCTCTGTTTACACCGTGTTGTGGTGTCTCTTGCGAGGGCGGGGTTGGGTGGGGACGGAGGGGCCCCACCTCCCATGCCTGCGTTCCAGCTCGCCTCTGCCCCCAGACCTGGGGCCCTGCTGCTCTGGACCCAGGGGCCTCCCTTCCTTCTGCCTCTCCCATCCTAGCTGAGCCTCCTAGGGGGGTCCTGGGGGAAGGAGGCTGCAGGGAACCCAGGCAGTAGTGGCAGGGGGTTTAGGATGTGGATGGAGGTTATGCTGTAAGGATTTGGGGGTGGTCCAGAGGTGTTCAGAGAGCCCAGGAGAGAAGGAAGGAGGGTCAGAGGAGCCGAGGACCATGGGGAACCGGCCCCCTCTTCCCGTGTTCCTCTTCCACATCCCAGACCCTACTCTGGAGCCAGGGAAGGAAAAGGGAGGAGGGTGGCGGGGGAGCTGGCTCCAGCCCCAGGATACACCGAGGAAATTAGTTTGTCTCTGTGCTTGTCAGCGTGTGAACCTCCCCCTGGGCCCTTGCCTATCCCAGGCCTCTCCCCTTGCTTCTCCCTTTCTCTCCCAGTTACACATCTCCTTCACCCCTTTCCCTGGGCCCCAGCCGCTCCCCTGAGGGTTGGCAACGGCTCTGCCCTCTTCCCTACACCATGCTGTCTTCCATAGCCTGCCTCCTGTCCTACTCATGAGATTGCCTCCGTTCCTTCCTTCTGCAGCCCTGCTTCTATCAGCTGAACCCTTCCTTCGGGGTGTTATTGAGTACCCGTCTCTCCCCAGCCCCTCAGCTGGTGTGCCCAGGTGTGTCAGAGGCAAATGGGGCTCTGTTGCCAACGGGCCCCTCTCATCTCTCACTTGTTCCTTATGCAGAAAACCTTTGCTTCACTCCACTGCCCCCTCTAGTTCCCGACCTTTTTTCTCTCCTGGCTTTCCCTGCCAGATTTCTCGAAGGAGTGGTCTACACCCTCTGCCTCCACTTCCTCTCCACCCACTCAGTTCTTAACCCCCTGCAATCTGGCTTCCAGGCCCAGAAGCCGTTCTCTCCAAGGTCGCCAGGCACCTCCTTGCCAAGCCCGACAGTGCTGAGGGCTCACTCTCCTTGCTCTCTGTTCTGCAGCCACACTGCTGAGCACTGCTGCCTTCTCCAGCTCCTCCGCCTCGGCCTCTACACTCTCCAGCCTCGCGCCCTGGCTCCTCCAGGCTCCTCTTCCTCTCTGTCCTGCCCCCGCAGTGGGCACTCTCCCAAGGTTTGCCCACCCAGCCCATCAGCACGTCTTTCCTGAGCGTCTCCTCCTCCTCCTCTTTCGACACCTCTCCATAGGAGAACTCATCACCACCACTGCTTCAACTGTCACCTCCACACAAATGATGTCCTTGTTGGAGAAACTCAGGGAGACCCATGAACAGAGAAGCCTAGCATGGAGACAGGGCCACTGTCAGGGGACACAAAAAATAGAAACTTTGAGAGCCGCTATCTCCTTGGTGGTGACACGGCTTCTCTGCCCTCCTTCCCCATCACGCTCTCCTTTTCACAGCTGAACTACCTGGGCCCCCCTTTCAACGAGCCTGACTTCAACCCTCCCCGCCTGGGGGCAGAGACTCTGCCCAGGGCCACTGTTGACTTGGAGGTGTGGCGAAGCCTCAATGACAAACTTCGGCTGACCCAGAACTATGAGGCCTACAGCCACCTTCTTTGTTACTTGCGTGGCCTCAACCGTCAGGCCGCCACTGCTGAGCTGCGCCGCAGCCTGGCCCACTTCTGCACCAGCCTCCAGGGCCTGCTGGGTAGCATTGCGGGCGTCATGGCAGCTCTGGGCTACCCGCTGCCCCAGCCTCTGCCTGGGACTGAACCCACTTGGACTCCTGGCCCTGCCCACAGTGACTTCCTCCAGAAGATGGACGACTTCTGGCTGCTGAAGGAGCTGCAGACCTGGCTGTGGCGCTCAGCCAAGGACTTCAACCGGCTCAAGAAGAAGATGCAGCCTCCAGCAGCTGCAGTCACCGTGCACCTGGGGGCTCACGGCTTCTGACTTCTGACCTTTGCCACCTCCTCTTCGCTCCCCCTTCAAACCCTGCTCCCACTTTGGGAGAGCCAGCCCTGTATGCCAACACCTGTTGAGCCAGGAGACAGATGCTGTGAGCCTCTGGCCCTCTCCTGGACCAGCTGGGGGTGTGATGCCATCAGCTGTGTCTCCTCCCCACCTCCCAAAGGTCTACTGAGCTGGGGAGGAGGTGCCGTAGGCCCTGTCCTGTCCCGTTTGTACAGGAAGTCATGCTCAAGGGAGTCTGAAGTTGCTCAAGTTGGTGCAAAGGCTCTCATGGCCTCCTGCTTCTTGCCCACCACTTGGCCAGTGCCCACCCAGCCCCTCACGGGGGCCGGGGTTGAGGGGCCACCACCACACATGCCTTTCTGGGGTGAAGCCCTTTGGCTGCCCCACTGTCCTTGGATGGGTGTTGCTCCCTTACCCCCAAATCACTCTATACATCCAATTCAGGAAACAAACATGGTGGTAATTTACACAAAAAGAGATAAGATTAACAATGCAGGGCTGGGGTCTGCATTGGAGGTGCCCTATAAACCAGAAGAGATAATACTGAAAGCAGAGGGGCAGGGGCAGACCAGACCAGACCCAGGAGTCTCCAAAGCACAGAGTGGCAAACAAAAGCTGAGCTGAGCATCAGGACCTTGCCCCGAGTTGTCTTCCAGCACGATAGTGCCTCCTCTCTGCCCCCTTTCCCAGGATATCTGTGGGCTGCCCAGGCTGGGGAGGGTAACCATAGCCACACCACAGGATTTCCTGAAAGTTTACATTGCAGTAGCATTTTGGGGTGTGGGGTGGCAGCTCTCCCAGGCCTTGCCCCCAGCCCCACCCACTCATGACTCTAAGTGTGTTGTATTAATATTTATTTATTTGGAGATGTTATTTATTAGATGATATTTATTGCAGAATTTCTATTCTTGTATTAACAAATAAAATGCTTGCCCCAGAACTTAGTCTTTGCCCGGTCTCACCCCTCCTCCTGGTGCTCCTCAGGCTCTCTTGCTGTCCCTGGCTCCCACTCCCTGTTTGCCTCCGGTGGAGTTACACAGAGCTCTGGGAAGAGGTGCTCTTCCTCCCTGCAGTGGGGCAAGGTCCACAACTCGGACTTGCCCACTCCTGCTCCCACCAAAACCCCATGATCCCTCAGTCCTCCCACACAGCTTCTGTCCATCCCAGGTTTCCCTCAACCTGCCTTTGCTCGGTCTTCCTCACCTTTCTGGATTTTGTCTTTTTTTTGAGAGAGAGTCTCACTCTGTTGCCCAGACTGGAGTGCAGTGGCGCGATCTTGGCTCACTGAAACCTCCACCTCCTGGGGTCAAGTGATTCTCATGCCTCAGCCTCCTGAGTAGCTGGGATTACAGGGGTAAGCCACCATGCCCAGCTAATCTTTTTGTATTTTTAGTAGAGACAGGGTTTCACCATGTTGGCCAGGCTGGTCTCAACCCCTGATCTCTGGTGATCCACCTGCCTCAGCCTCCCAAAATGCTGGGATTACAGGTGTGAGCCACCTCGCCTGGCCATCCGCACTTTTCTGGATTGCATTAATGGTCTCACAGGTCTGTCTGTCTTCCTGGCTGGAATTTCTATTTCTGCCCTCTGGCCCAGCCTCCATGTGATGAGCAAAGCTATTCATCTGACCCTCTGATGCTCTACCCTGAGCAGTCAGCTCCTGGGCATTCGCTCCCCAGCTTCCCCAGGACTCCTGTCTGTCTCTGTCCACTGGGGCTTCAGGAGTGATGACCCTCACTTCAACACCCTTCGTCTCCTAGGAAGGGAGACAGACTGTGACCAAGTCACAATCCTCAGCTGTAATTCTACTACTTTCTCTCCAGTGTAAGACAGCATATTCTGGAAAAGAGAGAAACTCAGATTGTGAGAGAATGGGATAGATGCTATTCAAGGGATGCCCTAAGCTCAAATCTCAGATTCATAACCTACTAGCTGAGTGACCTTAGACAAATGAAAGCTTCCCATTCTCCAGTTTCCCCAGAGTAAAGTCAGGATAATTAAATGCCCTTCTAAGATTGCTGGAAAGGACAATAGGAACAGCAAAGCTGAGATACTTGGCTGCAGCAGCAGCAGCTGTAGTAACTACGGATTACTTAAGCTACAGCAGCATGTCACGACACTTCTCTCTATATGAGCACCCAGCTTAGACTCCAGCCTAAAGAAGGTGCTCAATGAGTGTGTTGAACAAAACAATCCAGCAAAGGGAATAGAAACCCCTCCCTCCAAATGCTAGAATACAAGGCAGAATTCAATTAAATGCAGAAAGACCCAGGCAAAATACTACAGAAGGCTAGGAAGGAGAGACTGCATCTAGTTAGCAAAGGCCCTCTAGGCTGTGAGCCCTGTTAGGGGAGAAAACAGCATCTGAAGTTATTGCTGACTTCTATGGCTGTATTTCCAGTGCAGAGCATACAGCAAGTGCTCAATAGTTACCTTTTGCATAAGTGCATGTGGTGGGATTTGACACTATTCTTGGAGGATGGACAGAATTTAGACAGATGGAGATGGGGCAGAGTAAGAGTTAGTAAAGTATATTTGTCTTTTTCAAGCAAATAACATCTGGAGGGCAAGGCTCACGATTTATTCATCTTTGCCTCCCTACAGCATTTTAGTGTTTTGTTTTGGTTTGGTTTATTTTTGAGATGGAGTCTCTCTGTTGCCCAGGCTAGAGTGCAGTGGAACCATCTCAGCTTACTGCAACCTCTGCCTCCTAGGTGCAAGAAAATCTCCTGCCTCAGCCTATCAAGTAGCTGGGATTTCAGGCACTGACCATCATGCCTGGATAATTTTTGTATTTTTAGTAGAGACAGGGTTTCACCATATTGGCCATGCTGGTCGCAAACTCCTGACCTCAAGCAGTCTGCCCACCTTGGGCTCCTAATGTGCTGGGATTGCAGGTGTGAGCCACTGTGCCTGACCCCTACAGCATTTGAGTGTAATGCCTGGCACAGTAAAACCTTGATTATTTTATTTATTTATTTATTTATTTATTTAGAGACCGAATCCTGCTCTGTCTCCAGGCTGGAGTACAATGGTGCGGTCTTGGCTCACTGCAACCTTCGCAGTGCAACCCAGGTTCTAGTGATTCTCCCACCTCGGCCTCCCAAGTAGCTGGAATTACAGGTGTGTGCCACCACTCCCGGCTAATTTGTGTGTGTGTGTGTATATTTTTAGGGAGACACCCTGTCGTCCAGGCTGGTCTCAAACTCCTGACCTCAAGTGATCCGCCTGCCTCAGCCTCCCAGAGTGATGGGATTATAGGTGTGAGCCACTGCACCCAACCAAACCTCGATAATTTGACTTAAATTTAACTGACCCAAGACTTATTTATTTATTGAGACAGGGTTTTTCACTTCTCTTGCCCAGGCTAGAGTGCAATGAAAGCTATTGGCTCACTGCAACTGCCACCTCCCAGGTTTAAGTGATTCTCCTGCCTCAGCCTCCCAAGTAGCTGGGATTAGAGGCATGAACCACCATGCCCAGCTAATTTTTGTATTTTTGGTAGAGACAGCGTTTTACTGTTGGCCAGGCTGGTCTCGAACTCCTGACCTCAGGTGATCCTCCTGACTTGGCCTTCCAAAGTGCTGGGACTACAGGCGTGAGCCACTGTGCCTGGCCCTTATGTTGATTTAAAGAATGTCAAGACATCAGTTAATAAGGTTGCTATGTTAGAGAAAAAATTTTTAAAATGTGTCAAGACAATAGTGTTTTGGAAATTGAGACAAAAGGCCAGGTACAGTGGCTCAACCTGTAATCCCAGCACTTTGGGAAGCTGAGGCAGGAGGCTTACTTGAGCCCAGGAGTTTAAGACCAGCCTGGTCAAAATGGAGAAACTCTGTCTCTACAAAATATGCAAAAATTAGCCAGGCATGATGGTGCACCTGTGGTCTCTTTAGACAACCAGAGGAGAGCCAAAGTGTGTCTGGGCAGCCAAACAGAACCCAGTGATACCAACAGGCACCTTTGCCGTGGACCTGTCAGCATGGGCGGTGATATTCCTTAGCATGCCAGAGGGAGGGACAGAGTGGAGAAAAGGGCATTTTCCAAGGCTGAGGACTGGCAAGGCAGGAACAGCAGAGAATCAAGGGGTGGGGGATTCCAGGCTGCTGGAAGCTACTGGAATTGGCTGGGAGCCACTGAACCAGGCAAAGTGGGCAGAGTGGTCAGTGGAGGGAAACAGACCGTCAGAGAGGGCACTTCAGAGTCTGAGTTCTTGAATTCTCTCTAATATAGCCCCTAATGATGGTGACAGGGGATTGAGCTGCTTCTTCGGGTTTTGGTATTATGTCCCACGGGCATCTTGTGAAAACGCCAGCATTACTGCACAGGGAGCACCTGAGAGATCACAGGGCATCGGCGTTTTCTGTGAGTCATTGGCTTTCCATCCGGAGCTACATCAGGAGATTCGATGAGTTTTGTTGGTTATCAAGGTTCTACCTCTTAAGTATGGCCTCAGAATTAGTGGCCCAGGTATCCAGAAGCCAACATCAGAATCTAAGGCCTTGCAATGTCAAGGGGTGGAGGGTGTGTTATCTCTAGAAGTCCTTATGTCTCCACAAGGATAGGGAGAATGGGCGAGAGAAGACCCTCCTCTCTGTCATCTCCAGATAGCATGTGTAGATTAGAAATCTCATTGTCATCTTGGGTGCTTGGAAACACACCTATGTTTGAAAGAATGAGCGTAAAATAGGCTGGGCGCGGTGGCTCACGCCTGTAATCCTAGCACTTTGGGAGGCCGAGGTGGGTAGATCACCTGAGGTCAGGAGTTCAAGACCAGCCTGGCCATCATGGTGAAACCCCATCTTTAAAAAAAAAAAAGAATGAGCATAAAATAGAGAACTATCACTTGGGTCAGGGGCAACCTCTGGGGGAAGTGAGGCTAGAGGAGGCTCTGATGGGATATGGCAAAATACTCAGACCTTGCCAGTTTTCCACTTTTGCAAAGACTGACCAACATCCAAGACTTACAGGCCCCCTCACGACGTGAGAGACTCATTCAAGCACTGAGCTTACACACACATGCACACACACACTCTCACTTGCCACAGCCACCCCAAATGGGGAAGGGCAAAGGGAGGCCCTCTGTTCCCCTTAACCTAGAGGGCAAGGGCTAGTGACTCAGGCCTGGCTGGCACTCCAATGGGCAGCTCCGTCTTAGCTTCCCCTTCTGCTGTGGAGCTAACAACTGCCCCTGCCTTTGTTCCTTCAATTCTCAAGCTCCCTGACTCAGCCTCATTCCCGAACTTCCCAGCAGGGGACAAAGCCCTTGTCGTGGGGTGGTGTGGGGGCTATAGCAGTGAGGGGAATCTGGGGGAAAGCGGTGGAGCCAGAGTTCTGGTCCTTTCCCCAGTCTCAACCTTCAGGGTCTCGCTAGTCCAGCGGTCACCTCTAGGCTCCTTACCAACTTGCTCCAGTTTCTCTCAGAGGCCTGGCTGATGGGGTGGAAATGGTTAACTAGAACCTTCCTCCCAGCTGGGCAAAGTCTGACACCTGGTGGCCAAGGTGAGGAATGGCCAGAGGCCTCTTTTCAAGTCTTCCCGGAACTGCTCCAGAGCCTGGAGGGCCACACTAAGGTGACTAGAGGACATGACCAGAGGAGGTAACCAGAGGAGGTGACTAGAAGAGGAGGTGTGGAGGGTGGTGGGGTCAGGACAGAGGACAACAGTGGCAGAAAAACTCAGAGACCCCTTCCTTCCCCTCAAGCTCAGGCACCCAAAAGCACCCTAGACCACAGAACCTGAACCAGGAGAAGAAGGGGCATCTGGGAGGGCAGTGAGGTACTCGGAAGGGCTGCCTGAAAGAATTCTGGCCCACAGGGTGAGGAATGCGGCCCAGGGAGTATGAGTATGTTGGGGGCCGGGGCAGGGGGGTAGTCTGGCTGCCCGGAATCTCCTGAGTGGGACTGATTTCCAGCTCAGGATGGGTGGCAGGGCCTGAGAGCCTG